AGCAAGTGAAGATCCAAGTCTTAATGCAGGCAGCCAGCAGGCACAATTATCCAGAAATACTGCAAAACAAGTCCTGTCGCTCATCCCAACAGTGTCCATACACTTCTGTGGTGCGGTGACAGCTACGACTAAGGAGAGGTTGGTTTAATTTACTAATCCAGCCCTTGAATAAAGTTTAGATTTCACTTCTTTTCATCTCACTATATCAACTACTGAACACTCACTGAGAGCGTCATGGCCAGCGTAAAGAAGGGTAAACTAAACCATATGGCTACTAAATGTTGCACCAAGCTTAGAAAGTAAATGGCATAACGGACTAAGGAATCCAGAGATCATAACCTTTAATTCCTTGATCTAGACAAAACTGCATTTGTCCAGGAGCTGTTATGCTTAAAGAAAGCAGTGTTTTGATCACATTAGATAAGGCACAACATGCACTAGAATTGGCACAAGATTAAGCTTAACTCTCCCATAAGATATGTACTACAAGAGTCTGGGGGGAGGAAGAAAAAAGAAAAAAGGACTTAGTCCTGTTCTCATTGTCACAGCCTTAACTGCAGCAACATGCTCCAAAGTCTTTTGCATTCCAAAGTTACTAAAGAGCATGTAACAGTATTCTGCTCAAGACCTTGCCTAGATCGATCTTCTCCCAGACTCCTCCTGCTACGCCACACGCATGCAAAGGACTACGAGCCTACCGGTAGCCCAGTGCGTGTACTGGAAGGGCTGAAGTTGGGTGTGGAACTCCAGGTGAGCCAAAGGTAGTTCTTCAAACACTAGGTTGGTACAACAAGCTCTCATACACCCCGATACGGTGTAAACAGTTGGCAGCCGCCTCCTGACTTGAATGGGAAATGTCACTGTGTCACAGCTCCTCAGTTTCTCACAGGAAAACTTTGTTCCCTCAGAAACTATACAGTAAGCACCGATCTTGATGTACTTTACACTGATGGATTTCAAGTGTTTTAAAAAGTTATCTAAAGCATCACCTAGAAAGATATGCAGTACCTGCCATCAGCTAGTGGTCTGCATTTTCAAGGTTCAGCAAGATGGAAGTTATCGACGCCCACTGAGGTTTAGTTGTGCTGGATTTCTTATTCCACTGGGCATTTGATAGCCATAAGCTAGCAGTTATTATAAAAGCCCCTGAAACATACTGTGTCTGTAAGAGTCAAACAGAAATAATTGCACATGAAATTATGAGTTCAATGGGTAAAAAAGGCACATTGTTTCTCTTTATAAGCAGTTCCTCACAAATTAAATAGGGAACAGTGCTTATTCTTCTCCCTCAAATGCTGACGAAGAACTTACTATAGCCAAGGATTGATGTACAAAACAAAAAAACGAGGCTGTGAGCTCAAAACAAAACAGGAAACTATATCCTAAGAACCAAGGGGCAGATATAAAGTGTATTCCGTGTTGTTAGATTTGCAGTAGCCACAAATACCTACATACCCAGCTTAGCTTCAACACTTCGTTTTGAAACTGGGAAAATCCCAGGTCTTGTGAAACCAAGCTGAAGGCTGCTGACTTGATACATTAAGAAAATCAGAATTTTTTTTCTATTCCACCAAATATCTACAAAAGGACACCCCTACCAGGCTTCAACGATGGGATGGAGAACAACCTCCCCCCACCCCAACTCAAATCCTTAAGGGACCAGTTCTACATTGTGGGGTTTTGGCACGAGCTTTGGAGAAGCTATCAAGATCCAGTGACAGCTGTAAGAAGCCAGTATAAATTGGACTTGGAAATACTTCTTTAGGTGTAGTCTGAAGTTCCGTCAGCAAAGGATTTACTGAAAGCGATGCTTCTTGTTTACCTACTGAAGCCACACAAGGAAGACTGTAGCTGCCTGCATCACTAGAATGGGATTCACAGGTCCACCTCAGTTACAGGGTTAAAACACAGCCCGCATGCATACACCAAATTTAATGCTGCGGAATAAGAACGATTGGGATTAGCAGCCTCACTCATTTTAATTGCGCTGGCTCCCTTGCAGGAGCCAGCCATAGCAGCGTCTTTGGTTCGTGCATCTCTAGGTGGCGGTAGCTGCTCAGATTTTGCGATACCAGGAGATGCTTATCTCAAATTTAGCAACCAGTATTCCTCCCATCCTCCTAGAATTGCCTTTCCTAATTTGAAATGTGACCCCCCTCCCCCATTTCTTCATAATTTATAGTAGTCTGAAGCTGAGTCACAAGGATTTCTGCGTTTTCCTAACCAAGTACACAAGAAAAGAAATGAACTGCCAAAGTATTGAGGTAATTTATAGCGTAAAGCATCGAGGGCTTCTAGTCGATCAAAGGACCCAGAGAAACAAACATAAGAACAATCATGCCTTCTGTTCTGTACAAATGCCACGGACAGAAATAACTGTCCTAATTAACTGGTTTCAAAAAAATGACTTCTCTGAAAGATACAATATTCTTACGAGGGAAGTACACAACTGCTACAGCTTCATGGCAGCTGTCACCGGGGCATGAAAATTCACTAAATGAAGTTTCCTTTTGCTTCCTTCGGTTGTCCATGGTACTCATCTTCAGACAGCTGTATCCATTCGTGACGCCTAAATGATGCTGTAATGGGAGCTTCTGCTACCGCTAGTATCAGTGTTACTGAAGGATTACAATCACATCAAATCAGCATCATCCCAGCCAACCCGCCGTTCATAAAGGGTAGAAATTGTGCCTGAGGTTGGCCTATTTTGGTAAGGCTGTTGCCTATTCAGTCAACTCCGTAGCATCTTCAGTATTTCAGACTGTTCCATGTTGTTTGTCACTGCTGGGTGTAGCAGTTGAATCCCACCACCCTACCAGTTGACTGATAATTAGGTCCTTAGTGTTGAAAAGGAGGAAAACATGAGCCTGACCCTACAGATCACCTACGCTTTGTGCATATGACTTAGTCCTGTTCTGCATGGCCAACGCCTGCAAACGGTGTTCCCCTTGGGCTGCTCAGAGCCTAGAACTGTAAGTGACATGGCCAACGTAAGACTGGGACAGAGGACAGAGGCCATAGTATAATGGTTACCCTATTAACTCACACGTGCATCTCCAAAAACGTTGTATTCTTCTGTTGCTGTATATTCCAGTATTCCCCAAACAAGTAGCATAAGGATTTGTGCTGAGAACGTGTCAATTTAAGGCACCAAGGCAGAGCTCCCTGTATACACCGAGTAGCAAAACCTGTTACTGTTTGTATTACAAGAGCACTGAGGAATCCTTGTCAGGTAACAGGAATAGAAGACAGGCAAGATGATCTCGGTCCCAAAGAGCTTACAGTCAAAGATAAGACTGAATACAGGGAAGGAAGGTAAACAGTAAGATTTGTGAGCTGACAGACAGTGGGCACAGCCTACCAGCCCCATCCCAGCTTGCACATCAGACAGTTTGCTCGGTACACACCTGTACTGCTTCCTAATGGTGTACCCCGGGGAACAAAAGAGTTGTTATGCACGGCACCTTCCTAGCTGGAACTGAAGACAGCAGGTTATTGAGTTACCACTTCATTTTGGCAATACACAAAAATAGCTAAGCTTCAGTGCTTTTAAAAGCTTCCTTTTAAAGGGTGTTCACAGCTAAGCATTACCAAGAATGCCAGTGTATGAACCGATCTAAGAAATGATTGAGAGTTTCCTAATTAAGCAGCGCTTTCGCTATTTAGGAGGAACCAAGTGCTCACAACATATGCTTGAAAACAGGTCAAGACAAGTTCACAATTAACCTATTAAAAGCATATATTCTCTTCTAGTGGAGCCTCCACCGATTCACACAATGCCCAACGTGAGATTTCTAGTGTAGGCACAGGGCACATTCTTAGAACAACATTTCAGCCATTTATACAAACCAGGAAGGCAGATATGGGATTTTTTTCTTCTCTTTTATAGGACCACCCTTCTTACACAATTCACTCAGAGTGAATTGTTTCTCATCTTCACGCAGGCTTACCCATGGAAGGGATGAGGGGGTCTCCTACCCACACATTTCTTGTGCCCTGCTTTTGGACCTGCACCCCAGCAGAGAACTATTATCTGAGCTGAACATGCAGCTTCTTGTTTTATCCTCACTGTAAGAGTAGAGTAATAGTTGCAAAAAGCTCTACAACAGAGTAATAGTTGCAGAAAGTGCTACAGGTACCATGAGGACTTTCAACTGCAGCTACTTACAGCTCAGGACTGTCAGTATACGCCAAGCTTTTGAGCAACAGCACAGATCCTTATTTTCCACTATATTCTTTCACATTTTAATGAGTCTTTAAAATCCTTTGCATCTGTGCACTACGTTTCATAGTATTCCAGCATACTGTAGTACTCCCATTGCACTACACTACAACATAACGCCGTGTTTAAAAGCATGCTGCTCGAAATTAAACTTTTTTTTCAGTTTAGACTTACTCCCTCCAAGATAAAAGTCCTTTGCTATTTTCCTCCACTGTTCTATCTCAATTAGTCAGATAAAGTGTTCTTGATCCTCCTGACCCGGTTTACCCTGATTCCACAGCCATATAACGACAGGATCTACCCTGCAGTTCCAGAAAGCAGAGAGCGCTGGCAACGCGGACAGAAGGCTCGCTACTTACAAATGGGTTTTCCCAGCCGAGGTTCAATGAAGCTGAACATTAAGTGGTAGTACTACAGCAGAAAATTGTTGCAAGTTAGAGCCCTGTAGAAAGACTCCTGTACCTAGGCACGTGAGGTAAAGAGCTGAAACGTCTACCAGCTCCTTCAAGGTATCGTAGAGTTGAAATGGAGCCATTGCTTTGCCCCGAGACCCTGGTGAGGGGCTGCTCTCTCCTCCCAGAGCAGGCAGGAGAACATCGCGGTTTGCCTTCTCCCTTTCCCTCGCCCCGGGTTTGTTTACACAGCCAGCGCCCGCTGCTCCGCACGCAGGGAGCCGTAGCATCTCCCTGACAGCTGCTTCCTTCTCTCGCGTGCCAAACCACGGGATTCTCAGCTCAACCGACCCAAGAGTGTCCCCTCTGCTTACGTTTTCCCATACCTAGACTAAGTCTGGGCCACGGCTGGCGTCAAGTTTTCACCCACGCGCTCCCAGGCAGCGCTCCTGCTCCGCGAGCGGAGGCACCGACGTGCACCGAGGCGCTACCTGACACGAACAGGCAGGACGATGTGATGACCTTCGGGCTTGGGACAGCCAAGCACACCCAAACAGAGCGAACCCTTCACTTGGGCTACCCCATGGCCACTCAAACTTAGCGACGTGAAAGCTGCTCCTGTCCGTGAGGCGGCAGCTCACGGCTCCGGCTCTTTGCTCGTATCTAAAGACGACCAAGGAAATTCATTTTATGTACTTATCACACCATGAATTAAAGATTACAGAAATACTTGCTGAAGGAAAAAATGTATCGCCGGGATAGATTCTTTGCATTCGTTAGAACGGTGTTACTAGAAACATAAATAAGTAATGACTATCGATCTCGCAATAGTCATAACCTCAGAACAGCAAACTACAATAAACTGAAGGGAAAAGTACGTGTTTTAACCGTAATGGACAAGCCAAGATACCACAGCACCTCTTAAAAATAAACAAGCAAAGCCCGTGCGGCCCGCAGCTGTAACACCTTACGCTTTTAGTCCTACAAGGGAGAAAAACCAAAACGTTCGGTGAGGTAGCGCAAGGCTTCCACAGGATTAATTAAACCTTTGCCAACGACATTTACCGTCTAACGCCAGTTCCCTTCTGGCGGAGGCTCCGCCGTCCCCAGCTCAGCCCCGGCGGGGGCTGGGC